AAAAGCTTCATTCCTCACAAAGGAACCCCTCCAATTTAGGCTGTCTGTCCTAACTGTGACATTTATCATCCTTAAATGAAAGAGACAGGGAGAAACTAGAGCTACGTAACCCAACTGAAATAACAGTCCATTAGCTAAAAAGGAAAACCCCACCACTGAGGCTGAATCTCCTTGCCAAGGCCCTTCTTTGAGGATAACGAGGATCTGTAACACACAAGACTCGTGCCTCGGCCCTTCCTAATGTCAGTTATCACAGCCTGGTCCATGCCTGGTAACATCCCATAAGGAGCCCTTCCTGGATTTCATTATCAACTCAGAAATCTAAAAATCACAGAAATCATCGTCTTGTTGAAGGACAAACACCTTCATTTGGAAAAATGTTGACTGTGTCTGACACAGCCAGGTAGAGAGGCATTAAACCAGGAATATCTACCCTAGTAATTTCAAAAGCTACAACTTAGGGAATCATTGCAAAAGAGTAACAGTGAACATGTAAATTGATATATAAAGTCACCCCCATACTCCATATAATAAAATGCTACATTTTATCTATTTTTTGTAACTTTAGTAGTCCTGCACGTGGGAAACATATCCCATGAAACGCAGTAAGCACACACAGTAAGAACCAGGACTAAACATACAATTTTTGCAAATGCACAGTGGGTTACATTTCTGATGACAGGAGAGCACTTAAACTAGTCAGTCTTAATTATAGCAATATGAAAGATTATCAAAATAGCTGCAATACATTAATTACCTTTGCCCATTGATTTCATGCATTTACAGAACTATATATATAACCAGTTAGGTACGTGAGATTTCAGAACGCGGAAAGGGGAGGCATTTCCACCAAAAAACCCCCACCACAGGCATTGGCAAGGAAGTCGGGGGCAGAAGTAGATCTTGGCACCTAACACTGACTTTTCAAGTCGTCTGCCCCTCTTTAATTTGCTTCTTTCTGGATGTAGTTTGGAAGCGTTTGAGGTTCAGGGATGGGTGTTGTTCTGGTCTTGATTCTTTGCTATTCCAGGACAGGCAGTAGAGCGCTGGATGGAATTAATCTCAGTTTAGTATTCTAAAGCCAAGTTTCTAACCTGAGCTAAATCACAGCTTCCACAGCCTCCCGAGAGCCTCTCCAGAACATGATTCATTCTACTTTCCTTAAATATCTATCTTAGGGGGAGATTAATAGCTCTCTAGAGGTGTCCAGATTCCTCCATTAAAAATGGACGAGTAATTTGCAGAGAGCTAGTGTTCAGCGAGATGAATTGTACTCACTGTGTACCACAACTGCTGGACATCTCATGTCTGGAAAAGTTGGAAAAGTTCTCCAAAGAAAGAATCAGCAAATACAAGGGTCCCCCCCCCCCCCCCATTATTGGTCTGAAATTTGGACCTCCAAGTACATGGGGATTATAAGGTCCAAACTTCTTTGCAGAACTCTTCTTCCACGTAAGTCCTGCTCACTGATGTACTTAAACGTGTGCACAATTTAAACAACAAACTCCCCCCATTCATCTCCACAGAGCTATCTAGCCAGACAGCTCAGAATTATGAATACTAGTACACCAATGAACTGAAACCTTCAAGGGCTGGGAAGGTGCTTTAAATGGTAAAATGATCGTATTAATATTTAAAATGACCAAATGAATGACATATCTACCTACATGTCATCCCACATCGATTTCATACAGATAGTATGGAAGACCCCTTTAGATTAAGAACAGGAGCACTTTGGAGGAAGCTGCTTCTTTTGGACATGTTAGCCATGTTTTTTTTAACGCCTTTTGCCAAAGCATGTCTTTTACAATGTTTCAGAAAGACAAGATCAAAGGACATGACACAAAAATGGAATACCCTTAAAAAAGCAGAATTTAGGTAGCATGGCTGAGGGACAGTCTAGTGTTGGAGAAGACGACCCAATTCTAGAATAATTAAATTCCTCCAACTGAGGAATTGCCAGCATTCATTATGGATTAAATGACACTAGAATAAAATTTCCCTCTACGTAACTGCTTCACAAGGAGCCAGTCCACAGGAGTCAGTGGACCTTGTATTCACACTCCAGCATACCCTGTAACACCTTTCACGTGCAGACAAATCAAAAGGCACTTCGGCAAAGCGACACAGGAAATCCAGCACACCTCCTGCCCACGCTTTTCCTGCTTCACGGGTGGAGGGGAACTCAGTCTCCAGGTACAGGAAAACAACAGTTGAAAACAGAACTGCTATGAAACATCTGTCGCTATCATGTTCACTTCACAAAAGTAATTCCTACATTAAAAACTTTGAGATTTAGACATATATGTATAAGTATGTACACACTTAGAAAAACTGTTCATATATACACATAAACATAGGTGTGTGTATACAATTTACACATACATGTGTATAAATAGATGTACGCACAAATATAAAATAGCAGAACTAGAAAGACAGTGGTCTCTTCTTGCTTCTTTATGACGTATAAGGAAGGTCTAAAAGCATGTTGTTTTCTTTACCCTGGAAATATGAGAGAAGTCAAGTCTGGTCTATCCTCTCTTTGCTGGAAAACTTCTTGGACGTACAGAGCCATAGCTGACAGAGCTTCTTACCTGCTGATTGAAGGTTACAGTCTACAACTATGGATGGAAGTCTTTCCCAATTATTTCTAAACTATTTGAATTAATTATGTGTTAGCAATAGCTAAGTTTTAAATAGCCCAAATAAAAAGTAGACTTTCAATTATCTTTCAAGTGACAATAGAGAATTTCTGACAAAACCAATTGCAAACAGAAGGCACAACATAAGAAAAAAAACCCCATCCTTCAGTATGAACAAAATGTCAATTTAAACCTCCTTTATACAACCTAAAAAGCAACAGAGAATGAAATCCTTTACACATACATGATTACAAAACCACTTATTTGATTCACTGATGCTGGAGAAGTGAAACCATATTATTTACCAAGTTTACCGGTTTGAAGGCACAATGGTTATCACTTCATCCACATCCCATTCTATTTACAGTGAAAAACAAACAAGAAGGATCTCTAAGAAGAGAAAGGAGATAAACGCAGATGCACCCTGAGAAGTGAAATTTCACAACAAAAACATTTGTTTTGAAATACTGTTCTTTGTAAACTCCCATTATCTGAGTTCTCCTATAACTAGAACAATGATGTTTAATACTCAATTTACAATGAAAAATATTACTTGCAGATTAAAAAAAAAGTTCATTAAGTTCCCAGAAAAATAAATCAACCCAAATCTGAGTGAAAGAAATGAGGTCTCACACAGATCACACCAAAGCTGACATCTGTCAGTGCGGGGAAAAAAAAAGCCCCAGTAAATCAATCTAAAGATCTCTAACAATATCTAGTTTTCTGAAAAGAAAACAAAAAATGGAATGGCATAATCTAGTTGGAAATCCCATAGTGCCACCTGTGTGGAGGAAAAATCAAAAAGCCAACTGTGCAAGCCCTTCTTTGGATCTGGAATTCCCAAAAGATTCTGTAAAATTTAAAAATCTGAAGATAAAGGTCTTCCTACAAAATCAGATAAATGTTCTGTAGCTGTTTCATGACATGGTTTATAAAGTATTGGCACCAGCACAAAGAGTTCAACGCGTTCATTCAGAAGTCACAGAGCTCATCAGTTCTTCAACGACTCGCAGCATTCCTCTCGTAGCGGTCGGTTATTCACTGCACTCTTCACCCGTGATCTTCCCTGCAATAATGTACTGCCGGACGAAGTACTTTTCTTCTCATTCCAGTAGGTAATAAGTGCCATCAATACAAGAAAACTGGAACCAATATCAAACGACAGGCTATATTTCATGGTCCGTATTCATCAATAATAGCCGAAAAGGTAGAATTCTCAAGCTGTACACAGCAACCTACTCTAGCAGTGGTATTCATGGGGCAGGGAGGAAGAGAAAAACTTAATCCAAGGAAGTGCAAAAGGAAGAAACCTCTAGAATTTGTCCATCGACACAGTTTTTCTTTTCCAGAGGCTAAACAGTGTTAAAGACAGAGAGTGCAACAGTACTTTGAGCAATCATCTCTTGGAAAAACAAAACCAGTAACACCCCACCCCCCACCCCACCCAAGCTAAAACAAATCCAATACTAAAGTTTGGCGATTATTAAATCACCAAATTATACTGCCCTTGTTTCAAACTCACAGCATTTTCATTGCTGTTTTAATGACTAAGGATGTTTGTTTTCACACTCGACAGCAGATTCAATGCCGGTGTAAGGGACAGTTGCTAACATGTTACCCTAAGTTCTGTTTTTCATGGTGCGCTGCATGATAACCAGATGTTATCACCAAACAAACCTTGACCCTGACAGCAATTTGAAAAGAAGATTGCTCTGGAGTTTTCTACATGTTACCAGTTACGACACTAAGTACCTGGCTCAAACTTTATATCCAATACCAAGCAGCTGCTCTGCTTTCTCTTTCGTTTCTGCTCTAAGTCAGGTGGAAGGTTCTTGCATTTGTCTGTTGTGTCGCTTAGGCTGGACTGTAAAACATCACTACGTCTAGCTCAGGTGGAAGAAGGGAGAAAAATGTATTAGGTACAATTCCTTGCCAAAAACAAACAAACAAAGAAGACGACAAAGTGTCTTTTCAATCCATTCTTATACAAGCTTAAACTGATTATAGGCCAGATCACAACATCTTATGCTGCAGGCCGAACTAGAAGGCTACAGTATCTGTGTATGTATATACAGAATGCATAAATGTATACATTTATATATACACACACAAACACGTATGCGTAAGAAGGAAGCACCCATCTTTTCCTTACTGCTAAATACTGAACTTCTGCTTTCACCTGGATAGCAAGATAGTTTATTGTGTGTAACACCCTATAAAGGGACACTTAGGAAGATGTTACTAATTTTCTTCTCATTAAAGCCATACGTATGTCTGGTATTTAAAAACATGCAGTGCCACCAGTTATCACAGAGTAAACCAGTTCTTAGGTACAATATCAAGTCTTTAAGAAATGCGTAATAGATTTAAATGTATTTTACCCATTTGTGTAGACAATTAATACTTTCCACTATTTCCTAGGGGATTTATATTCTTCTTAAAAAAAAAAAAAGTCAGCACAAATTCACAGGAAACAACTTTGTCAAACGAATTCCACAGCAGCATATGTAGTGAGTCACTGGGTGAAACTCTTTTTTATGAACACATTAGGAAAGTTGGCATTCAGTTCCAGGACAACTCTATTATCAATCTGTGAACAGAAGGACACATCGAGTAAAGAAAGATCTTTACAAGACTCCAGCAATTTTCTTAAAGATGCAGGGCTTACCATCCTCGTCCCTGTTCAAAAACAAAAAAAGAAGCAAAAATAGTAAAGTTACGGAAAATAGTCTTTTTTTGTTTTGAAAAAAAGAAAAAAAATGCTGCTAATACTGTGCCATGAAAGAAGTGCTACTATAACACAATTTTTACTAAGATTATTTCAATTAAATTTCAAATTAGTGCAGAATTTTTACCTTTAAGAAACCTCTTGTATTTCCCTATCTGTTTAAGTAACTCCATCATTTTCTGTTGGCGGGCAACTTTACAACTTCAAGGGGAATCTCTGACGACAGAAGCCACGTGCCCAAATCCACCAGACCTCCCAGCTGCCTTGCTTTGGCAGCAAGCAACACATGGGACACGACACTCATGCTCTCATGACTCTCCGGCTGGCTGCACTGACCAGCACAGCACAGGAGCTAAAGTGGGCTACTCCGATTCCAAACAGATCAGCAAGGTCTCCAGGACTTCAGAGGGAGTGTGGGTATTATGCACACAGAGAGGCAGTTGTTCAAGAGTCTACCACTCGTACCTAAATATATATATGCTACCTGTAACAGAAACCACACTATTTACCCCTGCTAAAAATGTGACCAAAGTGACTGAACTCTTATGTGTCACACAGGGTCCGATCAAAGCCTGGGATTCCGTTAGAAATCAAATAAACAGGTGTTTATAACCACGTATCCACACAGCCATTAGAGCTGATGGAAATCTAGTCAGTACAGCCAATGGCGCTTGGCACACGAGCCAGGTGACTGGGCACCGGGGTCTGGTTCAGTGCCCCTTGGGGTTCCTTACACCACGTAGGACACCTACATGGAGTTGGAAGACAGGACACTGGACCCAGAGGAGGAGACCCGTGCCTTACTGGAACAGGTAGAAGCCAGGCAGGTTACTCAGGGCACGTGAACCAAGCCTGGATGTCTACAGTGGGCCCTACAGCCCACCAAGCTCTCCTGGCTCTAAAAGGACTTTATACATCTAACATGACTGCACACACCTGCCAACAGATACTCCAACTTACACAGCTCTGTCTCGAGCTGATCTGCACACCAAGAAGCCATCTAAGTCCAGGATCTTGCCTATGGCCAGGGCCAATAATGCTTACCAAAAAAAACCCCAAAAAGCAAGAGCAGATTTTTAAAGCAGCTTTTCACTGGTGGATCTTCTCAACTGCCAAAACCCATAGGTTTAGGGATTTCTGAAACCACCTTTTATGAATGCTACTACGTCTGTGAACTTCTTCATATTTATGGCCCTTTCACAGGATTTCTACAGTTTAACTATATAATGTTAAAAAAAGAAACAAAACAACAAAAACTGGCCTTATACCCACTGCCTATTAATTGCAATAATGAAGGGGTAATCAATCATAAAGAAGCAGTGAGAGATCATTCAGTTTACCATTTCCACATAATCCTATGGACATCTCTTCTGTTCCCTCAAGGCTGCCTGTTTTCCAGACTCTCTTGCATCTCAGACGACCCCTGTTGTCTTCTTTCTGCACCAGTTAAGTACTTTTGAAACTGGATGACCAGAACGATGCAGTGCACTGAGCACGAAGTCAGTAATCGTACAATGAGGTCTTACAGTATTTTCCCCACTTCTTTCCTAAGAAATCCTGTCCTTCTCTTTGCCTCCTAGAATGATGCTGAGCAATGAGCTGATGTTTTCCAAAAATTGTCCACAGGATCTCTTTCCTACAAAACAGTAACTAATATAAAGCCACCCCCCTCCCATATGCTTAGCTAATGTTATTTTGCCTCATGTGATTACTTTGCACTTGATGGAACAGTTTTCCTCCTGCTTTATCATCTGTTTACTAAGTATTGTAAGAGCATTTGCAATTTTTGAGGATTAAATTCTTAATCTTAAATTTTTTCTGCCCTGAATACCTGTGCATTACTCTCTGGTACAGCATTATTCACCCCTTTGCCTGGATTACTTATAAGCAGATCAGTAGAGGGCCCTTGGTGGCCACAGTAGTGACGTAATTTCATTGCGAAAAAGAGATGATATGTTCTTGTCCTCTGTTGTCTTTGAAAACTCTCGTATCCCAGAGGAAGACAGCCACATTACAAAAGCAGAACAGCCTTGGCTAAAGCTTTTGAAAATCCAATCCTCTATAGACTGGATCAGTGCTCACCTTCACCAAGAGCTCCAAGGAATTCTGAAAGACTGGAGAGGCGTAACTGTACTGTCTTCACGGGGACGCAGCTCTTCCAAAACATGGCAATGGCCTGCATGTCAACTGACTGACTTTCTTAGGGTTGCAACAGGTTTACGCAGAGCAAAAGACAATCCTATTGCTTTGTAGCTTCTAACCTGCACCCTTTGGAGAAGGTTGTGCCATGACTGCAACCCTTCCTTCCTCTAGTGCTGAGGCTGATTTAAGTGTCAGATCACACACCAGAAATAAGATTTCCACAGCCCTGTATTTGAGCTCATTTAGAACTGCTGCATAAATACCACTTAGTCCTAACAATTTATTATTGTTCAACGTATTGATTTGTTCAAAAGCTTTCTGTATCGTCATTCCAATTTAAGGCAGCTTTCCAGGCTAATCTCCTGGAAAGAACAGCTCTGATGTAGCAGCCTACTTGCTCCCCTTTGCCGTGAACACTAACAGACAGAAAACAGTTCTGCAATGACCTCCTTGTATCTGAGTGATCCGTCTCATCTGGAGTATCTACCAACCTCAGCAACTCTCCTGTAAACTTCTAACCTATCTGAAATATGGTTCTAGCATCTACCTTCAGCCAACGGTTCCTTAATATCTCATACTGCCTTACTGTGATTTTGTTTCACTCTCTAGAGTTCATCTTCCTATTTTCCTTCTCGGAACAGGATTCACTTCCAGAAAGATGCCTCTGCGCTTAGCAGTCACCTGTACTCTTCTGCGTAAGCAAGGAGGTATCTAAGTGTGGTCTTCACTTCTTCTGTGGTAGGCTCTCAGATGAGCCGCTCTGAGGCACCATTTAACATCACCCGAGAACAGTCTTTGCTATCATGTCCCCAAGTTTCACTTCACCCACATGAGGTAATCAAAGTTTCTCATTATTACTGTGATTTTTAACTCCCTTATCATTATATGGTCACTGTCACCACAACTGCCTGGTGCTTGATGTAAATGTCCCTATGGCCACACACAGAAATTCACAGAATCATAGAATCACAGAATGGTTTGGGTTGGAAGGGACCTTAAAGACCATCTAGTTCCAACCCCCCTGCCATGGGCAGGGACACCTTCCACTAGACCAGGTTGCTCAAAGCCTCATCCAGCCTGGCCTTGAACACTTCCAGGGATGGGGCATCCACAGCTTCTCTGGGCAACCTGTTCCAGTGCCTCACCACCCTCTCCATGAAGAATTTCTTCCTGATATCTAATCTAAGCCTCCCCACTTTCAATTTAAACCCATTACCCCTTGTCCTGTCGCTACAGGCCCTTGTAAAAAGTCCCCCCCAGCTTCCTTGTAGCCCCTTCAGGTACTGGAAGGCTGCAATAAAGTCTCCCCGGAGCCTTCTCTTCTCCAGGCTGAACAAGCCCAACTCTCTCAGCCTGTCCCCATAGCAGAGGTGCTCCAGCCCTCTGAGCATCTTCATAGCCCTCCTCTGGACTCGCTCCAACCAGTCTATATCCTTATGTTGGGTGCCCCACAGCTGGACGCAGCACTCCAGGTGGGGTCTCACCAGAGCAGAGTAGAGGGGATACGCTGTGATACGCTTTAGTTGTTCACTTCACTTGACCATGAATTTTACCACAGTTACCACAGTCCTACCGTCAGGATCTGATCTACCATTCCAACTGAAATTCTAGGAACAACACATTATGCTACTCATCTTTTCCCCACCAAACCTTAAAATTGCTACTGCTTCAGCACCTTCATTTAAAATGAGTCCCATTTACACGTCACAGCTTTTACGCTTCAAGATCCAAATGTGTGTTTCTACACAAATGCTACATCTAGATGCCTAGCCACAGATTTTTTGTGTAGGATGTTCTTCATTCCTTCCTACCTGAAGTTCCACAGTTCTCCCACTGTTTCATCTAAGACTAAGATTTTGAATGTAACTAAGTAGGCCATCCTAAATTGCATGTTTTACTCTACCTGTTTCTTTTTTCCTCCTCAGACTTAAAATGTTAGGTCAGGAAACACCTTTTTCTAAAAGTTAAACAGGTCAGAAATCTGGCTGGGGTTTGGTTATTCACATTGTGGGATATGCAAACATCATTTGCAGTCTTACTTTTATTTATACAATGTACAACTAGTGATGTATCTTTCTTAAAAGCACATTAGACAGTATTCCAGAAGAGTCACACAGCACATTTTCCTTTGAAAAGGAAATTTTCCTTCTGAAACACTGACAACGTATCCTGCTAGTTCCCTATATAGTGCATTTTTCTAGAGTTTGAAGACTTTTGGACCTTTGTTATTTACTACAACTTTTCCTACATGGACTAATCAGCCATTTCCCACAATAAATACATAACCAGAATATTAAAATCTGCTACTTAATTTTGTTCTTCATTTTATTCTCTGGAAAAGTTCTCTGGTATCGTCTTTCTAAAAGGCACTTCTGAGTAATGATTTCTTTGCTAGAATAATTATGTTTATTAGCTGTAAATGTTTTCATTTACACCTTATCATATATCCAAGTCTTCAAGTTCTAGAACTTGTTAAGGAGACTTGCATATGATGGCTATAAAAACTGCCAGAGCCCCAAGTTCTAGGGCAAGGGATACTACCACACAGCAAATGATATTGAAGAGTAGAGACCCTGAAAATAACTACCACTATTCCCTCAGACGTTCTTACTTTTCCTTTCCTCACTAGATCAGCCAGATTAGCCTTTTATCCTTTACGATTTATTCACTCTATAGCACACAACTCAAAAATTTTAACATGCTACAGATTTTCATGTTTAAATTGACTAACTACGTGTTGATGCTCTCAAGATAAAGCTGAAAATTTTGACAGCTGGCAAGGGGGCAGTTGGGTTTTCTGTTGCTCAGGAAGGTGTGGGAGGTGTTGGTATGTAGACAGGAATACACAAATTTTGCAGTAACAAGGGTGTCTACTTTCCATTCCTCTTTTTGTGCAGGACAGAGGGAGTCAGGACTTCTGGGGAGCAAGGTTAAGATGACTTATTCTTCATCCTTCACAGCCGCTGGTAGCCCGAAAGCATCAGAACTGAGTGGCTGATATGTACAAGAAAAGCTTTTGGCTCTGCCAATTCAAGTTGTCATCTGACTCGTCACATTGCTTGGTGCTGATCACAGTCTGAAGGCTGGTTTTTGTCTACAGGGCTAGAGGTGTCCATTTAAGTTTTGCTAGGACTGGATGATGTACTCCATCGCTACAAAACTGTCAGAGGATCACAGCTGGATCATTCTACTGCAGGGTGGAAACCGGCCATGTCAGTCATTGGAAAAGGTGTGGGCAGAGAAGGAAATGACACTCGTAAGCAGGCAGCTCAGTATGTGGTGGGTAAAAGAAAGCTCAGAACTAAAACTTCAAGAAGCACACCCTGATGTACTCAGTGACACCATGCTTCCTACTCCCAACTGTATTATAATACAGCAGCTATGGATCCAACCCATGATTTATTTCCTTAAGCAGAATATTACTTTCTGAAGTACGTTTTACACACCACAAACATAGCCACCCACCAAACAATGCTCTACATGGGCCAGTAAGTTTATGCAGCCCTTGAAAATTGGCAGTTTCCATCTCCTACAGAGTCCTCTGATTCTACAGCCAGCTGCCAAACGATGATGGAGAGGCTAAGTAAAGGACAGATGGGTAGCAAGCCACAGGACCTACCACCAGAAAACAGCACACAGGGTATATGTAACATTCATTTTGTAATACTTAAAACGACACACAGTTCGACAAGATTTCTTTCAGAGGCTGAGACTACTCCAGTCCTGAAGCTATAGTGATGATAAATAATCTACAACTGAAACAAGAGGTTTTCCCTGACAAGTTTAGTAGTTCTAAGAACTGCAGAAAGAAACCAGCACGGTATTGTCAACACTGGTGACTACAGTGCAAGGTAAGACATTCTGATCCCTGCTTAGGTAAGTGCCTGTATACAGCAAAAACCCTCAAGCTTTTACACAGCTTTGTTGAAGCAAAATAAGTTCCCTTACAGCATACACCGCTAACCTAGCAGCAGTACTTCTACACCCTTCACAATGCATGTACAAGCCAGACATTTCTGTACTTGGGAGATGACAAAGGATATAATGAGAGTACCTCTCGTTCATTCACATCATAGAGAAGACCCACTGTTCAAGGTTACTCTCTGCAAAGCTGAGCGCTGACCTCAGGCCTCTAACAGCTTCAGACCTGTTGTCACACTTCTTCAAAAGGACAAAAACATATTAAGCATTTATGTAGCTTCTAGTAACAGAGTGGCCCTACATCAGCCGCTAAAAGTTAGAGCACATACAGAGATTTATGACTTTCTTGGCACTCCTGCACTGTGAGAGATTAGCTCTTTAGTTCAGACAACAGACTTCTGCACTTACACAGGAACACCTGGCAACTCTACCTCCAGATGACCTGATGTGGTTCTACTTGACAACTCTCTTTTAACCACAGACTATAATGGTTCCTATATTCAGACAAAGAAATGAATGCAGTTTCCTTGCTGTTGCCAAAAAAGCTGGGCAGTTCTTTCACATGTATCATATCACCTTGCACTGACTCGTTTATAGCAGAAGGCAACCTTTTTTCCACCCTACTAAGCATTCCTCTGAAGGAAGAAAGTGAGATCTGGAAAGCAGGTAACAGGTTTTTGGTAACATCCTGCAGATATAATTCAACTGGTTATTCCCTGGGGAGCATTTATTCGAACCCAACACGCAGTCTCACTGGGAAAGGTTGACTATAAATCCACTTGACTCAGGAATACTGGTAAGCACCCAGGGAACAGGACAAATTCCTCTTCCATATTCAAGCATTGTTTTTCCACAAAAACACTGATAAGGCGTCAAACTGAATTCGAATGCTAAAGAAGCGTGGCAACAAACCTTCACTGCTGGCAGAGAGGCAACAGAAGTAGCAGACTATCCGTAGGCTTAACACAGCCGAGCTATTCGTTGGGCAGCCTCTGGTGAAGCAGAAAGGTCAGACTACTCTGTGGGCAGACACAATGCCACTCTAACAGAAACGGGTGGAAGTGGGTGGTCAGGAGAACGTGTGCTCATCAGAGACTTGATTCACTGTGCCGTTTGGAAGTTTTTCATGTCTGAAAAGGGAAATGTGCCCTTGATAACCTAGCTACAAAATAGATGTCCTTTAAGGATATGCAAAACACGTCACCTCTGTGGACATACACATACAGCCTCTACAATTAGTACTAGGTGGAGATAAGTTTTTATCTGTTCATCCTCCTTTCCCATGCTGGTTAGAAGGCAACTTTCTCAGTCAGAGATGAGTAAAACCATATTCCGTGGTAGAAGAGTGTACTAGCTATACTGGAGTGACAATCTGAAGCCATATGGTAAATTTTTTGTAATGAGAAATGCTAAATGCTGATAGCCTTAAACTTGCTTGGAACATTATTTGACAAAAGCAGAAAGAAGGAGAAGAAATTGGATCTTCTGATAGTCAGAAGATAAAGATTTTGGTTAAAAAACCCTAAGAGTCATGAAACTTAAAAGTTACTAGAAAAATCCTGCATTTAAATCTCAGTTTAAGCAATTCACACTAAGCCGTCAAATTACATGATTGGTATGAATCCACTGGATTCTAAGTCAGAAACTCACTGAAGTGAGTAAAACTTCCTTCCTTTTTTTTTTTTTTATGTTAAAGCATAACTTTAACGAATATTTAAAGGCCAGGCTGGACGAGGCTCAGAGCAACCTGGCCTAGTGGAAGGTGTCCCTGCCCATGGCAGGGGGGTTGGAACTACATGGTGTTTAAGGTCCCTTCCAACCCAAACCATCCTATGATTTATTTAAAAACATGTCTAGAAGACAGTTTTGTGTTAAGGACTCGTTTTTAACTGCAAGGCTTCCAAGACATACACCAATAATCCTACATTTTCTTACCCAGTATATCCAGCTGCCGTAAATGCGTACAGTTAGCAGCAAGCTCCTCAATATCTGTGTCACACACTGACCTGTTGGCCGTAAGAAAGAGCTTTTGCAAGTTCGGGAGTTTACGTGCAAGGTTTGTGAAACAGCCTGTACTGCTCTGTAACGTAGGGCACCAGCCAAGATCAAGTTCTTCCAAAAGCTGGCAGCCTGAAGCCAATTCTGCTATTCCACTCTCAGTTATGTTTTTACATCTCCACAAATCCAGACTGCGAAGCTTTTTGCATTTTGCTCCCATCATGCTCGCTACAAGATCATAGTCTTCAATCTGCAAGGAAAGCAAACACTTAGTCAAGCATACCGTCTTTCCAGACATACATAGGTGTTTCAAGATTTGCTTGCTAACACACCTACAGATCTGTCTTAAGCATCTGTCATTTCTAAAAAGCTTTGAATATTATTCATTGTACAGTGACATCTACATTTACAAAAGACAAAACCAAAATAAATTTCCTATCAAACCCCAGACACGGGTGCTTTTAAATTCACTTAATACTAAGGATTAGTGAAAATGCAGTGAAAAGTTTGTTTTCTTTGAAAAGCCTTTCTTTTTTCTTGCACAGTTGTTTTTCCTTTAAAAGATGAATAAAACTGTTTTTATAACAATAGGCACTGCAGCCATAAGCACACACAGATTGAAGAATGTGCTTATTTCCATTCTAGGTTGATCAGTTGCTGCATCTCCTTACGGAAGTCTTATTAATTACCTTGGGCAAGCCAAAGGGACTGAAACTGGGTCCCACTACACAAGCAGAAGCAATGAAATCCACTATCAAAAACCATAGGAAGATAAGGACTGTAGCAAAAATGTAGTCACGTTGCCTTCCTCTTCTGTCCATGAGTCAAAGGAGGGAAGGCTGAGCCAGTTGTGCTTTGTCACTTGCTCCTTGAACTATGAGGAAGGTCAGCTAGGTCTCCCTGATGAGTGATCTGGCATGCCTACCACCAGACACAGGAGCAAGCCAGAACCCCACTACACACACCTCTGGCATGCATGTGTGACAGAGCTCAGATAACTGCCCTGTAGGAATTGCTGCTGGTCCTGTATTCTCTTTCTTTAAATCAATGAGTGTGCCCACAAAGCCTAAGACTCAAAGGGCTTCTACTGAAAATATTTATCTTGTGGTTATTACTGCAGGGTCAGACAAGTTCTGGGAATGATGATTTGGTCTGAGTAAAAGTAAGTCAGTCTTGATTATTAGTTGTGGAAAGAAAGAGTGATTATGCATATATAGAATGCTCAGAAGTTTAGGAAGAGGGTGAAGAACTAGGGAAAGCTATGTTTTTGGCCTACTAAACTAGAACGCAACCCTTAAGTACATGACTAAGCTGCATTCTTCTAGTTGGAACTAGATGATCTTTAAGGTCCCTTCCAACGTAAACCATTCTGTGATTCATCCTGGACCATTCAAGAGAGTACAGTATAACATCAACGCAGCATTTAACATGTCTTTGGGAAACACAAACCAAAACTGAGTTTGAAAGCAAGCGTGTGCGCACACATATACACCCCCCCCAACCCCATGGATGGTGTAAGTACTCACCATGACACAGCTGCCCAGGCTGAGGTGCTGCAGCTCCGAGCAGAAGTTCAGAATACTGAGCAGGGCTGTTTGCTGCCACGGGGGAACACAACAGAAGGAAATATGGAAAGGGATACAAAGAGATGAGGTCAATTAGACATTAAAGGCTGTCACCGCATTTCCTGAAATACAGCTCAAAACTCTGTTACAGACACCACAAATGCCACTTAATGAGTCCCTGGGTACTCCAGCCATCGATCGGCTTAAAGCACCAGTAATCGTTACAAACCTTTATGCAAGTCACTTTGGATGTGGTTTTCCATTGCCCCGAAGATACCTACACACCCATGACCTATCCACTCATTTCCCACAGGAAAGCTGCCGAAGCAGCGTGGCAAGTTCAAACAACAGGCAAGGCCAGACCGAAAACACAGAGGGCTGGTGACACAGCAGCAGAACAGCGGAGGCTCTGACACAGCCTGATGGAACTGCCAATAGAGTTGCGCGGCATCAGGACAGAGCTGGTGACTTTAATGTCAAAGGAGTCTCCGTGCTGACAAGGATGCTGACAACCAGCGAGCACCTGTCACTACCCGCATGCAGACTGAAACAGATATAATGTGTATTTTACAGTCATGTTCCTGCCGTTTAACATGGCCATTCCTTTCAGGAAGTGCTGCATACTGCTTAGCCTGAAATTGGACTGGAACATCAGATGCATCTTACAAACTGTAAAATACTGTTCCACAACAAGGGAAACTTCATGGGGTTTTATCTGTGCACCTAAGATACAGAAAAGATTCTTCTGCATTGTCTGTAGCCATATTTTGCTTTGTAGTTGGAAATACAGATAGTGCAAAAAAGCACATAGTCCGGGATTCACATCATAAGCAGCTGTGCAACTGTACTTAAAACATTCACCACTTTGCTAGGACTTCATCATCTGTATGAGCTTGAAAACGGGAGTAACATATTAATAATAAAAGTCTGTGGATTTCTACAGGATACACGACTCTAGCAGGAAAAAAAAATCCCAAACCCAAGCACTACAGAAGGGAAAAAATAATCTACTGCTAGTAAGTGGCATTCCTACAAGAACACTAGTCAACATTTGCATGCATGGGCGGTATATTTTATACATTTTTAAAGAAAGATAAATTTACTTGTTTTCAGAAAGTTTACAATTAAACACTTTTGGTTTCCTCAGTTTGTTATATTCTAATGAAACTTGGCAGAAACATGATCCTCTGTCATACCATCGCGAAGAAAAATGCGATGCCTTGCACTGAAAGACTGGCAGACACACAACGGGGACATGGCATGGGGCATTGACGAAGAACATTTCAGACATCTAATTTAGGTGTCTCCAGGGAGCAATTAGAAACACCCAACACCTGACATGCATGGAACCTCAGCTTCCAACTTGGCCTTCTAAGACTTGATTTCCCAAAGGCAGCCTAAAAGTAGACGCTATGAGTAAGCCTTCCTCACATAAATCTTTGCAGGGGTCTTACAAAGCCACTGTCGCCTTGCTTACTTGACTTCCATTCATGTTATAAAGAAAAACATAGCTAGAGAATTAAACACAAGAGCATTAAAAAGTAATTATTAAAGAGGTAACACTTAAGAACACTTTAAAGCTAGTAAATGTGTAAATATCCAATACATTTTAAATAACATCCTTATTAAGCAAATGCTTCATTTGGATCATTAAACCTGAATAAACGAGTAACCCCAAGAGAATGAGACTCTACTATTTAACTCGGTGAAAGCTATCAGCTTTAGAGCCTACTCAGGTGCACAACTGAAAAGCCAAATCCCCAAAACCCTCTCTACAAACCTTAAATACCAGAGCTAGATAAACTGGTCTCTGACTGCACACACAGTTCTAAACAGGGTTTCTGCAGGCACTCACATGAATCCACAGGAAAGCTGAATCCCTTGCTGCATTCCACCATGTTTTTTAGTAATGGTTTCCTACCTGGAATTTAAACACTGGCCTGAAAGGATGGGAAGCAGCAATATCTTTCCTTAACAAACAGCACAGAAGTGAACAGTCACTCTGAAACAGCTTGTAGGATGGGAGATCAGTTCCACACTTCCTCTTCTTCAGAGAGGTGTGAAACAGGTAGGAAGACTAATACTCATTTTGATTAGATAACTGAGAAACTTTCGTTAGCCTGTACAGGAATTTTATGCACCTCTCAGAATACCTTTTGTAGTCCCTCTCTAATTTGAGACAGTCCTTCCCCTACTGATGTGCACTGAGACCACGTTTTCAAAGATCTTTTCACAACCTATATAACCTAAAGTATTATTTTAAAAAAATATAAAAAAAAAGGCCAAACAATTTACAAAAAGCACTAGGAATGTGGGTAAGAGAATGGAGCATCGTAGAACACGATGTCATACCATCACAAGTCATGCCAAGTCAAGCCCGAGAGTAAATAACTACTTACTCAACATTAATAATATTAATACCTCTTCTGGGGTGGATACATGCCCACGCAAATCAGATTTCTTTCAGAAACAGTTATCTGCTCGTCTCTAACTGAAGTGGGGTTTGCGTGTGTCAAACACAACTTTGTGCATGCCTAGCTGTGCCTCAGTCAATTGAGAATCCAGGTGGCAAAGGACATGAAAATAGCAGGAGAGAACGGCAGCTCATGGAATCCATATGCACCACATACAGAAGGACTGTTGCCGTAATAACCTGTCTGCTTCAAGCCACCTGTCTGTACAGTTCGTCTCTCTGACTTGCAATACAAGACGAGTGGTAACAATTCTATTTAAGCAAAGAAGAGCAAGGCAATCACCCGGCTCTGAAGTTGTAATAGGCCAATCTTCAGCTGTTGGAGTGCTTTGCAAGAGGAGCTAAGAGGCCACCTAAATTCTGGATCAGCAAGCTTTAGCATGGAGAGAGTCTAATTTTCTCAGCCAAGCAGAGAGAGTCAAATCAAAGACTAGCCACGTAATACCGTATGAGCCTAGTCGCCAAGACAGGTATAATTTTGAGATTTACTACTTTTTCTTTGTGGATTAATGTATGACATAGAATCACAGAATGGTTTGGGTTGGAAGGGACCTTAAAGACCATCTAGTTCCAACCCCCCTGCCATGGGCAGGGACACCTTCCACTAGACCAGGTTGCTCAAAGCCTCATCCAGCCTGGCCTTGAACACTTCCAGGGATGGGGCATCCACAGCTTCTCTGGGCAACCTGTTCCAGTGCCTCACCACCCTCTCCGTGAAGAATTTCTTCCTGATGTCCAATCTAAATCTCCCCACTTTCAATTTAAACCCATTACCCCTTGTCCTGTCACTACAGGTCCTTGTAAAAAATTGCTCCAGTGGTCTAACTTTCTTCTGCCACCCAAGCCAAACCAGAATCTACTAAAATAATCAACTTTTATGAGATGGCACAGACAACGTGAAGAGTCCAGAGGGGCCAAGTTAAAGGGTATATCCTATCCTCCATTCCCAGGAAAGGTGTTTTCAGATAAGGAAAACATGCAGTGCAGCAGTTGCTGTGAGAGAGAAGAGTCAAACTGATCAGAAGGATATGATACTGCTGCTAAACACAACCTTACAAAGCAGATTACAGAAAAATTTTAAGGCATGGCAGTTAGTACTAAACCTCAGAAAAGGGGAGCAGACTGCCTGAAGAGTCTCCAAAGTCGTTATGAACAGGTCAGACAGATGTCTGTCAGAAAGGACATC